GCGGGTCATTTATAAGTGTGAGGATAAATATTCCACAGAGCACATGTCAGGAGGATAGAGTGTATGCAGGGTGTGTGAGGTATTCTTAGCACTGATGACAGTGCCGGCCACTGAATCCATTCACATCTCTAAATGGTTTACTGTCTGTAAGATAGGGTACTACTCGTCCTGCCAAGGTATTGGTTTCTGCTTTACTCTGCTTATTTTTACCTCAGAGTGACACACCCTTTTTACTACAAGTTTCAGAAAGGCATCCTGAATCTCTAAAAATCCAACATTTAGAAACTCAGCTCGTTTAAAGAAGAGTCACATAGATGTAAAAATACAAAAAAATGGAGCCAAAAATGATCAAGATCAACATGCTGACAGTTTAAAGGCTTGTAGTACTCTACGTGACTCAGGATTTTATATGAGGATATAGTTTTTGGAAAATTAACTGTAGGAGAGTTGTATGCACTAGCTGTGTGAGGAGTTTACAGACGTCTGAGTTTGACTTTGTTCAGTATAAAACTGCTGTGCATGTGCACAACATTCATTCCATAAAGATAATAAAAATCTTCATATCTGCTTCACTTTGAACATGACAGATGCCTTCACGCAATGTCAGCAGAAAAGCTTCTGCTTGAAGAGCGTGATGGGAGTTTAAACATGAAAGTCAGCATTTGTTCCAGCTGCAGGAGAGTTAAACCTCAAAGTCAGTCATCAAAGCTTAAAGGACTCCAACATTCATAGGCATGAAGTTTGACAGTCAGTGAATTTGTTCAATGTTCAGTATTTCCTCCCACAGTGCAGAAGTTGTTAGCAGTTGTCGGCCTCCAGGATGTCGCTGTGTTCCTCCCAGAACTGATCTCCGATGATATCAGTGTGGTAGGACTGAACCCTCCGCCTGCTGCGAGTCACAGGCACTTCCTTCTCCTCTTCATTTGGTAGCTTCAAGCGTTTGACGATAGTTTCATCTCGCTGGACACAAGAAACAAGAAACTCAATTATTCAAAGAAAGAGCACAAATTTAGAAAAATACCATATCTGTCATATTTGTTTATCTCAGCTGTATGGAAATGTGACTTTTTAATCTGACACCATCAACACAACAGGAAGTCACTGCACTCCACATTTAAAAATAAACATGATCAGTGCTGGTAACACATCTGTCATGAAGAAGAAATGTTTATGAATTCATTAAAAAAACAAAGTTCATTCTAATGGCGGTAACGTTTCATTATAACTTGTGTTTTTCTAAACATGGAGGGCAGCACTTCCTTCATTTCACAGTGGTATGAACATCGATCTACAGAGGACGAGGAAGATGCTGCTTAAAAAAATAAAAATAAACTTTTTGTCTAGTTATATTATATGCTTTAGATTCAGGATGAAACCCTGACGTCACAGAGCCTGAGTGGCGGCCGCTCCAAATCTGTGGAGCAGTCTACTGGTTAACATCTCAACAGTAACCTCCATTCATAATCTTTACCTCCAATCATCCGTCATAATAATAATAATAATAACAATAATAATAATAATAATAATAATAATAACAACAATAATAATAATAACAATAATGTGTGAAATCTGACCCCAGTGTTGTCAGCTTCCCCTAAGTTAAGCGCATAGTGATTGGATATTTTCTAGCAGGAAGGAGTTTCCTTATCCCAGTTCATGGACTCTCAGGCACACACAAACAGAGAAGATGTTGTAGAAAGACGATGAATGGAAGCGTGTTGACCTAGAATACCTCCATTCACAAGCGTGCATTGAACCATGGACGCCGTACAGAATCGTTCAATATTAGATTGAGTATTGGTGCATCGGCAATGGCATGTACACTGCTTTCAAAATGCATTGTGGGATACTATGATACAACTTTGTAGGGTAAAATAAATCTCACTCATTCATTGGGACAGCGACCCCCCCCAGTGATGTCACTGTCACACCTGTCTGCAGCTCACCTTCTCCCAGATGAGCGTGGTGCCTTTCCTGTGCAGGGCAGCTTCTTTGTTGTAGTTAATGTCAAACTCAGTGAACAGGATCTCATTTTTGTCTGCAGCTAGTGTACCCTAGAGGGAGACAGAACACAGTTACACATAAGATGTAAATACAGAGATCAGTTCAAACAAGATGCCTCACTGGGTCACAGGACTCATCTTCCTCTAAGTCAGAACAAAACAATAATAGAACCTATCGGGGCTATTTGTCAAAGAAAACAAATTAAGATAAACTTAAAAACAAACCACATAAACTCAACAAACAGCCACTGATGCACCACTCTAGTTAGATCGATCGCAGGCAATATTTTAAACGTCCAGTCGGGACTCACTGTTTCTTCATTTCATTCAGATCATCACAAACAAACATTTCACTGACCTGCTAAAAAACCTGTGTCCATCAGGTGACACACCTGAGACCTTTAAAGGGTTCCTATCAACCCAAGGGCTTGGCAAGGTGAATTCCACTTGTGGCTCCTTTCCCACATGTCATTCCTGACTCTCTCTTTCCCTGATTTCACACTCTATCCACTGTCCTGTCTCTCCAGTAAAGGCACTAATTCAGTTGACGCTATACAAATAAAAAATTGATTGATTAAATGACAAAAAGCTCCAAAATAAATATTTTTTTTTAAAAAGGGTTCCTATCAACCCAAGTGCTTGGCAAGGTGTCCACTGCCCCCTGGTGTTTATCTCCGATAAAAATAAACTACTGTTTGTTTTTTCATTGTAAATGATTAAACTGTTGTCTTAGATATAGTTCTACCTTAACCCAGTTTACAGAGCTCATACATTCACTGTTAAGAAGTTCCTTAAAAGATAAATGATTGTTTAGATTATTATATTGCCCATAATATCAAAGAACAATTAGCCTCGATCACATAGCAGCATGTAGCAGCACCTAAATATTCAATCATGTCTTCAATCCTCCTTTGGAGAATTATTATTTTGATCAATCTGACCCGGCATAATTAATGTGAGGAGTTTTTATCTGTGTGTTAAACAGACTGAATTTGATGATGATGCATTTGACCTACAGAAGCAAACAGGACCATGAGGAATCACATTGATTATTTCTAGAGTTGTTTTGAATTCCTGTCTCTGCAGCCATGCAGGACACAAGTGAAACATCTTCATAGTAGATTTAAGTATAGTTCATTAATCTTAGTTAACCTAAGTTTTGCTCTCACCTTTAAGCGCTCTTCTGCCTGGACTGTGGTGAGTCCTCCCTTCTGGACTAACGTCCAAAACACTGTGTTGTACAAATTATTAACGTGACCTAAAAGACACAAAATGCACGCTTTCAGTCCGGCCTCCTTCACCCTGGTCAGTTCAAAGAACACATTCTGCTCCTTTTAAAATGTTTGATCAAAGTATGCACTTACAATCTGCTTGCCTCCAGCTAAGGTAATCCCTGAGGTTGCGGTTGCTAGGATACAAGACCACACGTCCATCAAAGCCTGGAGGGTACAAGAGAGGCTGTTCCCCAAAATAGTCCTTCCAATAAAACACATAGGAGGAGGAGAACTGGGAGGCCACGTGGGTCATGAGCTTACTGCCAGATGAAATAGAGATCAGAGATCAGAAGACAGAATTCATTCAAAATCATGACATTCATGTTCTGTTGTCAAACTCAAAATACCTGGCTCTCCTCTTAAACCATGTGGAGGTCCTCTTGAAGACAAAGCTGAACTCGTCACTCTGACCATAAGCGATGACGATATCCTCGAGTTCCTCCATGACAGAGTGTGCACTCCTGGTCATCAGACCCAGGGCTCTGTTGTCATTGGGCTTTGTAAACGTGTGCTGCTCTGCAAACCTGAAAGAAAAACAGACAAAGGAGTGAAGAAAGGCAGCAGGGTTTCACACCACATGTTTCTTTACAGAGATCACAAATGCTTTGGAATAAAAATAAAATACAAATAGACTCACTTGTGGAAATTGCGCCCATCGAGTCTCACAACAATGTAGCAGTTTCTCAGACAGGTGTCATCTGTTTCAAAGTTGCGGACATACTCAAACTTGCTCTTGGCCATGTTTCTGGACTTTGTATGAAGACAGGCAAAGGATCCAACAACACCCACAGAGCTGATACATTCAACAAATCTGCAGGCCTTTCCAATCAGCATTAGTTCCTAAAAAGAAACATCAAGAACAACACAAATATTTTAACATTCACACGGCTGAAATGTTTCACATAAAACAATTTAACTACTTTATTAGTGTTTTATTAGAATCAAACTACAATTCATGTCTGATCTCATTAAAGAATAATAAGTTTCCATGTTCAATCGATCTCATCATCACATGGTGTTAGTGTTTCTCCTCTGTATGCATCGTGATGTTCAATCCAAACACTAATATCTTCATATTTTGTTTGTCAAACAAACAATATTATGATAAGAAGAGATGATTAAGCAAAAATAGATCTTAACAATTGCTATCTACTGTTATTCAAAGACAGGCGTCACCTCACTCACGTTGGTTTGTGTACAGTCCGTCAGCGAAATCTGTCGTAGTGATACTAAAGTTAACATGGACGGAGGTTCCGCAGCACATGCAAAACAAAAAGCTTACTGTTTTAAGTTGATAGTTCACCTTCTCTTAAAACGCACTATCATAAATAAAAAATCTCATGTTGCTGTAATAGATCATCAATTCTTAAAAAAACAAACGGATTTACATTGAAGCTAGCAAACATCGTCTGTGTTTTAGCACCATCTAGCGGCAGACGGATGGACACTGCAACCATAGCAACCATAGATCGTCTATTAGTAAGAGGCGACGTAAATATGTTCTCTAAACGTGGAGTGCATATGTATGCTATGTCCTCTCTTTGGGGGGTTCTGTGGGTTTTAAAGAAAGCATTCACATTCAAGTGACAAACTGAGACGAAGTTTCACTTGGAGAATAGGAAAACAACACTTATTTAAAGCTTTGGGGATTAAAGTCATTCACTTCACGTATCTGCTCTGTAAAAAGTCCCTTGAAATGGGTCCAGAGTGACTGCTCAACCTTAACCGACGAGTACCACTTTCCTAGTGTTTCCTGCTTCACCGTGTGCTCATCTGCGGCTTTTTCAAACATGGAGGAGGGGGAAAGAAGAAGTGCACCTACAGGCAGAAAAGAAACAACAACTGCAACCTGCCGGAGCACACCGTCAGTATCAGAGAGTCAACCGGAGACAAGCAGCACAGCTCATGACGCAGATAAAATAGATGTCTGCTCTGACAAGTTTGACCCACTGCTGGCCTTGTACTCGCCCACCGTGCCGCTTCCTTTTCCTAATGTCAAATGTTTTAACAACGTGTCAGCGTACGAGAGCTTTCTGAGGGGCGGCCGGGGAAGAGCCAAGCCGGAGAATGTGGAGAAAAAGCGGCAGAAGGCGATGAGAGGGGTGGCGGACCCGGAGCGTATCGCCAGACTGAAGAAGCTGATGGTGAAGAACCCGGTGAAAGATCCAGAGGAGGGAGAGGAGAGCACACCGAGGAGGAGGAGGCAGAAGACCCAGAAGAATGTCCTGACGAGGATGCCCTGTAGGTTCAACTACAGCAACACGTTGTTGTTGTTGTTGTTGTTGTTG